GTGATAGATAAAATGTAATTAGAAGATATACTGTAATCGATCTATAATGTATTAAAAATTTTAAGTTTGGAAATAGCCTGCCCTAGTGGATAGGAATTATTGATATGTAATTGGTTTAGTTGATTGCATTGACATGAATAAGTATAAGTTTTGCGATTTTGTTTTGAGGTTCTGTTATTGGATTCTTTAGTTTTATAATTAGTACTTTAGATTTCTTTTATTAGTTTAGTCACTTTCTTATCTGTTTTTTTTAAAACTATCTCTTTTCTTGTAATTTCATTTACCCTATTTGCTTTTCAGTTTTTTGTTAGAGAATTTTTCTTCAAATTGGTAATATGTTATATAGAGTAGTGATTCTGACAAGGTTGGTGGATACCTACTACAGACTCTTGAGGTATAAATTTTCAGTAAATTAGAAATCTCAGATGAGATAAAGACACAAACTACTTAGGCGGGTTATACTTGGGTCTTCTTTACAGAACTTATTTTTAGATTTTTGTTAATGGACCGTGATTTTTTATTAGTACAAATATAATATAGTATACTAGGTAGATTAGCTTCTACAGGGGTATGGCTATAGCTGATTTAAATAATAAAAAAAGAATTGCTAAAACAAAAAAAAAAACAAAAAAAATATATTATATTTATATAATATAGTATAAACACTTTCTAATGATCCTCTAAACAATGCAACAAAAAAACTAAACTACAGAAAATAACATAGGAAGTCTCAAGATATACACTATTTTTAGTTCTGTCTTTAAGTAAGCAGTTGTCAATGAAGTCTTAAGATATAAAACATTAAAAAGCGGTGTATAACTTGAGTAGTTTTTCTTGAAGTCAAGCTTTTTCTTTGGTAGACTCCTCAAGATATTTGGTATTCAAGCCAGAAGGGTTATTCTGAAAACTAAACTTATCTCTAAACAGGTTGCTGTTAACAAAACTTGAAAGACATAAAACACCAAAAAGCAGATATAATTTAAGTGTTTTTTCTTAGGGTCAAGCTTTTTTTTTCTTTAGTGATAAACTTTTCAGGATATTTGGCATCCAAACTAGAAGGTTTATTCAAGAAGCAAGTAGTGGAATAGCCCTTACTAAGATAGTATAATCTTGTAGAACCAACTATACAATTATAAAACTTATAGAAAAATCTTATATATTTTTGTTGCCTCCACTTTTCTTTTGAGAAAAAATTTTGTAAAAAGTAAATAATCTAGCCTACTCTCTCCAAAAGATCAATACATTGTTTATTTTTCAAATCAGACAATATTGTTTATTTTTTTATCTGTTATAACAAATACATAGTACATATAGAATATAAACATGTAGATTATATACCTCAAATGTGGCAATCTGAAAAACAATACTATAAGCCCAACAGTACAATTTAATGATCTTTCTACAGTGCTGATATTAAAAAAACTTTTCTTTTTTTGTTTTTTTTTAGGTTTTAAGTTTAAATATAATATGTATATAAATTAGTGTAGAGAATAGTTTAGATAGTAGTATATAATTTTTAAAAAGCCTAACACAGGCTTATAATTGTGACCATCTGGTGTAGATGAAAAATCCTATTTTTAGTTTAGTTTTCTTATTTTACTCTTACTCTCTTCTTTTCTTTTATTTGATTTTTTTTACATATTCTCCTATACTTCTGTGTTTCTTTTATAAAATTTTTCTTTTTATTTCTCTTCTCTACAAGAAAATATCATTAGATTGGTAATATCTTATTGTAGAGCAGTAGTCAGACAAGCTCCAGTAGAGTATTATCTTAATTGATTATATTTCTCTGGTATAGCGTGGTTATCTGTAGATTTATATAAGTAATCATTACAATAAATAATATAGTTAAAATTTTAAATATTGCTATTATTATAATAAATTAATAAATAATATTAAGATAATATATATTCATAAGCATAGCTTCATATAAATATAATTTGCAATACTATCTGTTACAATTGCATTAAATTTTTCTAAATCAATTTCTAATAAAACTTTCTCTAAATCCTTAAAAATTATTTTAATGTTTGATTTTTACTCTGCATATTTATAACTTTAATAAGCTTTGATTATCAATAACTATAAAATTTACAAGATGATCTTAGCAAATATTTGTCCAACTATCAATTGCAATAGTAATCCATAAAGATTTATATAGAAATTTATTAATAAATATTTGAATATTTATATGAACCTATCAAGAATATTATTTGAGAGCTTTCTTCTTGATAAAACATAATATAAATTATTTATAAAACAAATAAACCTTTTAAATTTTTTTGCATCTATGAGAGAAAGAGGTGCACTGCCTTCAATTATATTTTCTGACAATAGCTAATAAGATTTGTTTACACCATATAGTAATTATTAATTACTACCACCACAGTTTGAAATCGACATAGAAGGCATGGTTGATATTTCAGATTGTGAATCCCATGAACCATGAATATCTATACATTTTTTGATATGTGAACCCATTACTTGCATAGAACTAAATATAAATTTAGTGGGATTACAAAAAATACATTTGGCTTTAAGCTTTTTGTCAGTTTTAATGGGATAAAATGTCTGCCAAAGAGGGCCTAACAGATGACCGATAGAACCAACTGGAAGTTCACGAAGCTAATATCGAATTTGTAGATATGGTAAAGGCCATTTATTTTGTAATAATATGTAATATTTTGTAAAAATATGTAAAGGTCAAATTTTAATTATTGCTTACATAAATTATTACATTACCCATACCCAACACCACCAAAATCTCCCAACTATGTATAATGTAACACGATCAAGAAAATTTAAAAAAACGTCCGTTTTGTCAAAAATAGTTTATTTCGCAAAATTCTACATAAGAAACCACTTTTGGTACTTTAAAAAAGTTTTTCGTTGGGCAACTTAACTATACAAACTATCCTCTTCTAACCATAACCCTAACCGTAACTCTAACATAAACAAATTTTTACCGCGCCATAAACCGGCACACATTCAAGTAGCCCTTATGCCTATTGTATAAGTTTTACCTAATAACCTGTGCGACAACTTTCACATTAATAAAAGGACAATTTTAACGTTGTTATGAAGGCTTTGTCCAATAAGAATTTTTCAAAAAGCGGAGAACCAAACCTAACCAAGCAAAGCCCAATTACATATAAACCTATCCAGAAGTTTATAAAAAAGCGAAACTTTAATAATGCCAAAATCCTAGTTCAATGAAAATAATATATAATTCATCTAGTAGGGATATAGAGAAGCGAAGATTTAATAATATACAACCCTGCCCAATGATAATTTTTAAAAACCAAGGTCTAATAATGTGTGATTCTGTATATTATACTAAGAATTATAAAGAAAAAGGTTTAATAATATATGAATTAATATAACATGAATTTAAAGAAAGTGAAAATAACAAGAATTTTAAAATAAAATCTAAAAACGTATGATTCTAACTAGTAAGAATTTTAAAGAAAGCGATAAGAATTTTTTTTTTTAAAAAAAAAATACAAAATATAAAAATGAGCGATTCTGCTTAAGAATTTA